AAAAAAAACCCTGGTGACATAGCCTGGTATGAAGATGCTGGGTTTAATCTCCAGTACCATAAAAAATAAACACAGAAATGAAGATTTCAAGACTCTCATCTAAATATTCAGAGAATATCTATGAATGGTGACTCTTGATTTCTCCACTTTTATATATTAATTTGCTATGCATCCTCTCGACTAGGCAACTTACCACTTACTATGTGCAACCAATCAATGAGCTGCTCTTTGGATGTGGACCTCTTTGTGTGGGCAGTCTGAAAAATGTTGGAAGCCAGAGGGATGTCAAGGTTGATTTCCACGACGCTGCCTTTTAGGTGCAAAAGTGATTCAACTCTAGGTTTTGAGCAGTTTCTAGTATGGGTAAGGATTTGTGTTATTGATTCATTGGTGGAAGGCTGTTTCTCAAAAAGGTGTAGCGGTTCAAGATGGTAAGTGTGCATGGCTATCTCTGGGTTCAGGCTGGGGCAATGGATAAAAATAAAACAAGCCAGCCCAAATCAGGGATTAAGGCCAGAGCCTTGGCCTTTTGTGGATGCCAATGCTCTGTATCCAGGCTGCCTTGCTGGGTAAAAACAAATGGCCTCTATGGGTCTTTTCAGAGGAACATGGCCTTTTTCAAAAGCTTTTGCTTGGGAGATACACACTGTGGCTGATGTGGTCTAGTAACAGGTGTTACAGCCTAAAGAGAATTTGTGGCTGACCAGGATGAGGCACACGGGAGTTTCATTCAGCCCTTTCCTGCCCAGAAAGGGGCCCCATGAGAATCCATGGCCTCTGTCTGGCTTGGAGCCCCAAGGGAAGGCCCACTCCCCTGGGTTTCTCACAAAGAGTGGCACAACTGTAAGAATGAAGAATGAGAAGGTGTCCTGCTTCCTCTCTGTGAATGATCAAGCTATGTGTCAACAGGGGAAGGTAGGCCACAGTCAACCACTTCCTGTCACTACTGAGCATATCCACACACTTTCCCTCAACTTGGAGCCTCTGAGGCCTTTTGTACCATACCAAACCCCTACGTGACAATGGCTTTGCTGTCCCAAGTCCTAAATTTTCTTAATGTGCCCATGTTGTGTCTTAAGGATATGTATAAACAATTTTGCATCCTGGCCCATGTGCCCCTATTTGTTTTAGTGTAAATTTTTCCCCCAGCCAAGTCTTTAACAAAATTGTCCCTCTGGGAACAGGCAGCACATTGATCCAATGACTTGCACCTGCTTCAGAGACCTTACTGGAGCAATTTAGTTGACTCTAGGGAGCTGTCTTCACTTTGTTCTTCCAGGAACTGCTCCCAAATCCTGCTCTGCCAGGGATTCAGGAGATGGGCAGAAGACTATCCCGTCCCCTCGTGTGACCACCCAGCTGAGGCAGAACATGAGCGGGGCTGGCAGGACAGCTGTGCTCTGCCCATCTCCCAGTTGGTGCCAGCCCCAAAGGCCAGGCAGGGCTCACACACCCCACTGTAGATATGTACTGGCCCCTCAGATCTGCCAACATGAGCTGTCATTAACCTCAAGTCACTTTCATTACAGCCAAAGCCACCCTGGCCTAGAATTTTACGACCCTCTAGTCAGGAGATCATTCACTGGACTGGAAACCTGTGTGACTTGTTCACTTGTCTCTCAAGAGTGTTGCTTTTCATAAACTGGTTGTGAATATTTAAAAGTTCAGCAATCAGAAGATTGAAAAAATAAATCTTCTGGGCCGGGGATTTAGTTCAGTGGTTCCACCGCCTACCTCGCAAGCACAAGGTCCCGAGTTTATCCCTGGTACCAAAGGAAAAAAAAGAAGAAGAAAATCTTCAACTTCTCCTAGGCGTAAGAAAAGTCAGATCTGGCAACTCAGGCCCGGCCCCCATGGGGATAAGAGCACACCTGAAGCCCAGAGGGAGTAAGTGATCTTAAATCTCACACAGACCATCATTTCACTTTGGGAGAAACAGCATCATCATCATATTTCTACTCCAGCTTTTCTCACAGGTGGTAAAGGAGTTGGAAAAAAAGAATATTGTCTTTGCTGATTCTGAAAAGGCACCTCTAAAATATCTGCTATCTTCCTAATGAAACTCCAGGGATCTCACAGACTCTGAGCTGATGTGGATCAGAAATAGAGAAGATCTTGAAGGACCTGCTCAGCTATGGTGTACCCTCACCTGAGCAGGTAAGGGCTGGGACCATCACTTCCAACCCTGCATTTCTACATTTCCTAAACGTTCCCTGGCCCCCATTCCAACTGTTCTACCTCCAGTGGGGTATGCAGTGGGACAGCTGGGATGCAGAAGAGAGGACACCAAGGGCCAAAGAATGACCAAAAGGACTCCTTGCCCATAGCAACAGCCACATAATCATAATCAGTTGCCCAAGGACAATGCAGGCTCAGAGCTGGTCTTGGCCAAATGCCCTATTTGTTTTTCGGAAACCACTGGTTGAGTCAGATTAATAAATACCTTCAGGGTTTCCTCACAACATTCTCCAGAGGGGCACTCTGCACTGCTAGGTCACTGCAAGAATCATTAACACACTCTCCCCACTCCCACTCCTGCCCACTGAATGACTGCTAACTTGACAATGAGCCTGAGCCTGAGCCAGGCTTGGGCCTCAGACAGGCTGTTTGTTGGCTGGTGTCACTAACAGAACAAACAGCACTGCCCTAGTTCCTGCCTGAGAAACTCCCAGCTCCCTGTTCAATGAGGCCTCCTCGGAGACCCTGTGTTTCTGAGGCTGTGCCATCCCAGGTCACCCTAGGTCAGTGGTGGTGAACCTAAGGCACATGTGTTATTGTTTTTCTTTTATGACAAAAGATGTTAATATACAAGTTGTTTTTTCTAAACAAAAACCTCAGTATTCAGGTTTAATTGCAGTGTTGCCACTTTGGGATAAAGAAGTGGGTTTTGGGTTGCATTTTAGGCATTCCTCTCTAAAAGGTTTGCCACCACTACCCTAGGTCAACCTCTATCACATTTCTATTTCATCATACCACAGAAAGTATCACTTCTTGATGTGATCTGGTTTGTTTACTTGTGTACAAAAGTCTCCCTTGCGGGATAAGGGCATAGCACTGTGGCAGAGTGCTTGCCTGCCCTGTACAACACCCTGAGTTCAATCCCCAGCACTGCAAAAGTCTCCCCTCAGTAAGAGACAAAGCATCACATGGGTATATCCTCATCTGCACTGCACACAGCCTTCTCTCCTGCACCTCCTGCCTGCCACTTAAGAGGTGCTCAATGAACCCAGGAACCAAATTGGCACAGCCCACTCCTAGGGAGGCCACAGCACAGGACTACCCCTTTAGCTACAAAGCTGGCCTGTCAAATTGTCAAAGTGTCCACCAGAGCCCAAAGCCACAAAACACACCAGTTTTCCAAGCTCAAGGCAGGGGTGCCAAAAAAGTAATTCATGCAGTTGTCAAAAACATATTCAAGCAACAAAGAGAGTAACATGAAAAGGAAGAATCACCTCTACCTCCATCCCAGTCTTGTTCCCAAGAGCCAACTGCTAATGGTTTCTTTGTCCTTTTGTGCACATGTTCAAGTCCTTTGTGCGTGCACGCACAGGTGCGCACACAGGCACGCGCGCGCGCACACACACACACAGCATGCAGCCATGATCCTTTTCGTTTTTCTCTTTTTTCTCACTTTCTCCCTTCCCTCTTCTCCCTCTTCTCTCTCCCTTTCTCCATACCCCTCCCCCTCCCTCTCCTCTCTCTGAAATACTAGAGACCGAACCTAGGCCTTTACCACCGAGCTACATTCCCAACCCCTGTCCTCCACTTTTCCCCACTTAATATCTCATCAATCTTTCACACTGATTCAGAAATGAATTTACCCCAAGATCAGGGTCAGAAAACCTCCTCCTGTTCTGCTGACTGCTCGGGAGGTAGCATGTGTGACCTCCCCAGGCTGGGAGCTCTTCTACAAACATTCAGATGATGTGTGTGTGTTTCCCAACATCCTCCCAAGCAGCCTCTGTGCTTCCTGAGGCCTCCAACACTGAAGCTGACCCACTGAGAGCACCCATTATCCAAAACTGTGCCCACATTTGGGAACTCCCCTCCCCACCCCACCTTGGAGCTCCAAGGGAATTGCATCTCCAACAAGCAGACTAAGCCCCTTCCTTGCCAGGTTTTGGGTTCCAGGCCCTTGCAAGCACTCCACATCTCTTCCTGAGGCACCAAGAGGTACCCAGGAAGCAGGTATGATGCCCATTTTGACTATCTGTTGTAAAAGGTGGCAAGGGAGTGACAAAGGCTACCTCCAGAACTCTGAAAGAAGAAGAAAATCTGCATTCTTTGTAAACAAAAGGACAGTGGCACAAGTCTTTTGTTGAATTTAAGGGCATGTGGAAGGTTGATACCTACCTAGATATGGGTAAGGCTTCAATAAGTTCTGTGATTGATAAGTAATTATTTTACCACCAAAGTATAACAGTGAGTGCCCCAAGCGCACAGGCTGTACTGTGTCCCTCGCATTAGCTGACTCTTTCTGTTCTGAGATGCTGCCCAGGCTGATCTCCAACTCTTGGGCTCAAGCAATCCTCCAGCCTCAGCCTCCCGAGTAGCTGGGACTATGGAGCAGCCCTCTATAAGCAGTCAACACCCCTTTCATTAGAAAGGTGGACACTGGCAGTAGAAATATCCTAGTCGCTCCTTCCTGCCTTCTTTTCCCTGACACATTCAACACACATTTACCAAGCAGTGACTCTACCCCGTCATCGTGTAGGCAGTGGAGAAACTGTCAAGTCCCAAAGAAAGCAGGGAGGACAAACACCAAGATGACACTAACTGGACTTGCAGGTACCCCACTGTCCATGTGTCTCCTCAAACACAAAAATGAGGTGGGCAAAATGTTTGCCTTTAACATAACCACGCTCTAGGCAAGAATGGACCCAGTCGAAGAGGCAGCAATGAGGACAAAGCAGAAGGTGACAGCAAAGGGTAGGCTCAGGAGTGTAAGGAAGGCTGCACAGGTCTCAGGAGAGCGAGGCAGGGAAGCCAGAGACACCTACTTCAGGAGGTTTTCTGCTCCTGTCCTCAGCCGCACAGCCTTCAGGATCTGCTGATTCAAAGCAGCCCTTTGATTCTGCAGTTTGCTCCGGCCAGTCTGTGCAAGGGGATTGCATCCCTAGGAGAAAAATAAAAGATGCTCCTTTAGAAGTGAACCACTCTAAAAACGACAATAATGTTTAACAAAACAGATGTTTAACAAAAAGACAATCTCTTCTGAAAATTAAAGTCAACGTCAGTACAGAAAAATGCATAAAATGTTGAAAAGTATATAGAAAATAAGTCATTCACAATAATACAACTCCAAAACAGCTACTGTGAATTGGTCTTCTTCCTTCCGGTCTATATTAAATGCATGTTGTTATTCTTCACATCCTTGGCTGTGCCGGGAGTCCCCAAGACCACCCAAATGTTTGCATCTGTGAGGAAGACTCACAGGACCTGGTGTATAGTTGTATTCGTGGCTATGATTCATCATACTGGCTTAATAAGGAGGCAAACATAGCTGGATCGTAAGGAGGCACAGAAGCTAGAGGAATCGAGTGTGGCTTTGCTTCACACTGTCTCCCACCCATGCTGGGTGACAAAGGGCACCCTCTTCTCCAGCACCAAAACTCCAGCAACTCTAGCTGGGCAAGGTGGCATATACCTGTAATCCCAGCACTCTGGTAGGCTGAGGCAGGAGGACTGTAAGTCTGAGCCCAGCCTGGGCAACTTAGCAACTTAGGGAAACCCTGTCTCAAAATAAAGAATAGCTAATACCAGTACTCAGGAGGCTGAGGCAGAAGGATTAACTTGAGTTGGAGGTCAGCCTGGGCTATTTAGAGAATTCAAGGCCAGCCTAGACTACATAGTTAGACCCTGTTTCCAAAGACAAAAAATAAATAAAATAAAAGAAGAGCTAGGAGTGTAGCTTGGTGCCAAGGCCCTAGGTTCAATTCCTACTATCAAAAAAATAATATTAATAAAATTTTATTAAATGCACCACCTCATATACAATGTCTTGCTCATATGAGCTCATTAAGAGAATTAACACCCAGAACTTGTACTGAGAGCTGATCATATAAGAACACTCTGCCTAGCAAGTACCAAAGTTCCAGGCTCCCGGAAGGAAAGCAGGTCTTCCTCACAAATCATGCCATTTGCACCACCAGTCTAGGCACAGTGGACCACCCTTACCAACTAGGGAATTGTGGGAACACTCCACGGAACGGGTCCCCAGAAGGCAGCCAGGCCAACCTTGCCAGCAGGCCTTACTGAGGAGAGCAGCCTCAGGCCTGCTGCGTGAGCCCTTTCCCGCCCAAAGGCACATACTGCTTGTCGTGTTTTCTCACTTAGTACTCCATCCTGAGATTCTCCTCTATCACAAAGTGCTCCTCAGCTGGGTGCTCTGGGAGGAAGAGGCAGGAGGACTTCAAGGTTGAGCTCAGTTGGGGCAACTTAGTGACATAGCAAGACCCTGTCTCAAAATAAAAAATGAAAAATGGCCCCCAGTATCACCTCCACCAAAAAAAAGAAGTGTTCCTCAAACACAAGTTTTTTGTTTTGTGGGTGTGATACTGTGTATTGAACTTGGGCCTTACATGTGCTACACAAGTGCTCTACCACCTGAGCTACACCCCTGGTCCCATCTTTTATTATTATTATTATAGCTATCCTAGTGTGTGGTATCTCACTGTAATTCTGAACTGCATTTCCCTGATGATTAATAACACTGAACACTTTTTCACTGGTGTAGGCTGGAGGTGTAGCTCAATAGTGGAGCACTTACCAAGCATGTGCTCAATCCCCAGCACCATTTTTTTTTTTTGGTACTAGGGATCGAACTCTGACCTTGTGCTTTCGAGGCAGGAGCCAGAACCACAGAGCTAAATCCCCAGCCCCTCCCAGCACCATTTTTAAAAAGAAAAAAAAAAAAATCCCTCTGCTTGTTTCAGAGGCTATGGCTTAGGACCCAAACTCTTAAGCTGCCAAGGTTAAAAATTCCTGTCCCACATGGGTCTCCTTGGTCCTTGTCTGTGGAATCTGGTGGGGTACGTAGTAAAACTTTCATGGGTTTATTGACCTCCTCTGAGAAATATCAATTCAGATCCTTTGCCCATTTTTAAAATGGATTATCCATCTTTCTATTTGTTGAGATCAAAAGCATTATTTTTAATGACTGCAAAAGCAAGCATCCCATTCTTCCAATCTGCATGCTTTATCATTAGTGACAGTAAACATTGTTTTTCATATAGTACTGATCTCTTAGATTTCCTCTTCAGTGAATTATTTGCTTGTGTTCTCTGCCCATTACAGTATTTCCTGGAGTATTTGGATTACAATGTTTTATGCTATAGAGTTTTAAATCAGAAATTTTAAAAAAGTGTCATTTACACCTAATGGTGTTCTCCCCACCCAGACAGAAGCCTGGAATCAGTTAGGACCACATTCCTCTGAGGCTTATCTGCAGGACCTGCCTGCTGTGGCTACTCCCTGGGAGTAGCCGGAGGGGCCATATTCCAGACCAGCCCTCTCAGCTCTGGAAGAACCTAGCCTCCCTAGCAGGCCTGCACCACAACCAGGCCTAGACCCCAAGGGAGAAGAGTGGGCTATCTGTGGCCCCACGTGGGGTTCTCAGGGGTCCTTGTATCGGTGGCCTCTGGACTAGTGGTCAGACATGAGTTACATTTCTCCTACAAAGATTTCTCATTCTCATCCCCCAGCAGGTCCCCTTATTTGTCCCTCATGCAGGCCCCACCTAGTTTTCCCTGTCTCATGTGGACACTTTCCCCTAAATTCAAATAAATTGTACAGATACTCAGAACCTGACTTGGAATGGATCCTGAAGTTAGGACTGTATCCCCCCCCCTCCCCTGTTACTGGAGATTGAACCCAGGGCCTTCTCACTGAGCTATATCCTCAGCTCTTTTTTATTTTTTAATTTTTGAAACAAGGTCTCCCTAAGTTGCCCAGGCTGGGCTCAATCATGTGATTCTCTTGCCTCAGCCTCCCAGAGTGCTGAGATTACAGGCCTGCACCACCCAGCCTAGCTAAATCATTAAGTGATACCTGATTTATGTTAATTTAATACTATTGGGCTACAATAATTATCAGTCTCTTTCCACTTCTGAAAATTACTATGAAGTGCTGGTCTGATTTGACTCAGTTACCTGGTTCACCAATGCTGTGGGTTAGTTAGTCAGTTATTTTGGTACCGGGAATCAAACTTGGGACCTTGCACTTCAGAGGCAAGCAGAACCGAACTAAAACCCTGGCCCTGCTGTGTTTCATTTTACAAACAAGCCTTAACAATTAATCCCTTTACGTACATTCCAGGAGCTCAGATAAGCAGCCATTCCAGCACAGGATAAGAACTTTTTCCTGCTTCTAGACTTCAACCAACTCCTGGAATTGCTACGCCCACAGTTGTGGGCTCAAGTTTCTAGATAAGACATTGGAATTCCCAGGTGGGATCTGACGGAGTAATTGGACCCAAAACTACATTACTTCTTACTGACAGGTAGGAATGGTGAATCCTGCTGAGGACAGAAACACCCACTGGGCCACCAGGAAATTTCCCTGAAAGGTAAGTCTGTGCAAGTCCACCAGAAAGACCCCCGGGAATCACCAGGGGCTGCTGGGGCGGGGGGGGGGGGGGGGCTCCCATAGTCATCCTCACCCACACATTTCTCCTCCCTGGTTTTATCTAATAGCAAGCCTTCCAGACTAACCCCTGCAACCCAATGGCAGTGACGTGTTCACGACAGGACACAGAAGTGTTCAAAAATGGTCAAGGTCTGTGCCAGGGAGCAGGGAAGCACGTGTCACCCCAGCTTGGCCTGGGAACCAGGGCCACTCACAGAGCTGTCCTGGCCTCACAGGTCACTGCTGACAAGGTCTTGCCATGATGTCAGCCTTTCTTTACATAACAGTCTATTTCGTTCCCTGAACAGGACTAAGTTTAGGCATTTTGGTCCGTCTTGAAATCTGGAAGGATGGTCTGACAGCTCCCACTCAAGGAAAGCCAAATACTGAGGGAGCTCTCAGCACCACTACTAGCTTGGGGGGCAGGGGGGCTCTTCTGAGAGTCAGACACCTATGTGGACCCCAGTGCAGCATCTAGGATCCCAGTCTTAGCTCTCAGATGGTCTGTAAGGCCAGCACAGCAGCAGCAATGCATGGGGGTGTTGGGGCAGCTCACCTCCCACTCCCCAGCCACACTTCATGTGCTTCCTGGTTGAGGACTGCCAGCATCACGCCACATCCTTTGGGGGATAGTGATCCATGCACACTCTCCCACCTCATGGTCCACGTCAGTCAGAGGTGGTAAATTCCTGTTGATCTCCTTCCCAAGTGGAAGAACATCTGACTCATACCTGGGCAGTTGGAAAATCAAGCCCCTAGCCCTGAAACTGGTTCAAGGATAAGCACATGAGGTACAGCAATCAAATGCCATCAGAGCTCATCAAGAAGAGACCCTCCCTCGATAGTCTCCAACCTAGGAAGAGTCAGACCAGGTGGCCACATTACCAGCATCTTCCCACAAATGGAACCAACCTGGGAAAAACAGACCGAATAGCAGCTCTGGTGACTACATTTGAGTTCCTGATCAGCCTGATCAGAAACTATTCCTCTGCATTTCTCCGTTATAGGAGCTGATGCATTCCCTTCCCTTGCCTATGCCATTTTTCAAGTTGAGGTACACTTTACATATAAAGAAAATACAAGCTTTTAAGAATATAGTTCAAGCAGGGCTGGGGATTTAGCTCAATGGCGCCACGCCTACCTTGTAAGCACAAGGTCATGAGTTGGATCCTTGGTACCACAAAAAAAAAAAAAAAAAGAATATAGTTCATCCAGCTTAGACAAATGTATACATTCATAAAACCACGACTCCTATCAAACTACAGAACATTTTCATCATCCCTGGGCTACCAATACTCTATCACCATAGGTTTCTGTCTGTTCTAGACCTTTGTAAACTGAATCAAATACCATAGAATGTATTGTCTGTGACTGGCTTATTTTGCTCAATATGTTTTTGTTGCTGTTGTTGTTTTTGTGGTACCAGGGATCAAACTCAGGATCTTGAGCTTGCCAGGCAGGTAGTGTGCCGCTGAGCTAAATCCCCAGCCC